ATAAGCTTCGCAAATCCAAGTTCAGCATCCTCGGCTGGCTGTTCAAACCGCTCCTTCGCCCCATCGTCCGCAAGGTCATGGAGAGGCAGATGGCCAAGGGTATCGCCGACGGTATCCATGCTGCCAACCGCGAGCTCATCTTCGCCCGCGAGAGGCTCCGAGCTACGAGGATCTCGGACCCAGACGACCTCAAGACCTTCGTCAAAGCTGTCATCACTCGTCTCACACCCGCCGACGATCCAGACGTCTACACGAGGGTTGGTGTCGAGGCACCTGGCAAGGGTGTATTCGCTGGCAAGTATGCACCTGGTAGTGTTGTCAAGCTATGGGAAGAGGAGGGTCGTCGTGCAGCGGAGCGCATCGATGACTGGGATGAGGGCGGCTGGAGGAACGACGTTTTCGACCTACACGCCATGACAATGTCTTAGGCGTTTTTTGCTTCTCTCACGATCGGCTCAATTTGCAGAGTGTATTGTCCTTTTCGGCATCGGTTTCATGGGTTTATGATCATCTCAAGGCCAAAATGTTTTCTTAGCGGTAAGGGCACGATTTGCTTTTATGCGTGTATACGATATCCTAATGTAGTACATGATTCATTTGACAGTCTTGTTACAAAGGTGTCAAATCCTAATAGTGACTACAGGTCCGCTTTTAAGCAGACATCTAATTCATCAACGCCCGCTCAAACAGCGTTATCATACAGTGCACCAAACTCTGACCGCGAGTTCGATTTTTTCAAATGCTAGAGTGATGTTCTTTCCAAGATGGAAAAGCCTCTAGCCTTCTTACGTATCCCTTACAAATCAGGAATCCCAACCACTTTCATCTCGATTCACCTAGAAGGGAGGCAGGTAGAAGGGGTATCCGCCGTTCTTGATGCGGAAGACACTGAGCAGGAAGCTGTACATGCCGAACAGGACACCAGTCCACAGGAAAACGGCGAATGACTGTGCGCGCGGGTCTTTGATTCTGGGAACCTTGATGGCGAGAGAAATGGCAGCAAAAGCGAGGATGCCGTAGATGGCAGCAACAATCTGCGACTCGAGACCGTACTGGCTGCTGAAGCCTCCGGCGAAGTAGTTCATACCACCCTTGCCATCACCCACGACATACGGTGTTTTCCTAATGTGGTTGAACATGTGGCCACTGGTGAAGAGAAGCACGGCGATAAGGCTGACGGCGGCCCAGAGGTTACGGTTCTGGAGGATGGGAATGATGTACGGCCAGGCGACTGAGATGGCCGTGATACCTCCGAGGACGATGACGGTAGCGGAGATGTAGAAGACCCAGTCGATGGGGCGGGAGACGGAGGGCTTGGGCACGTCAGCGGGGAGCTGGCGCGCGATCCAGGCGTGGATCTGTTCGGCTTTCTGGGGGCCGGCGGTGAAGTCGAAGCGGACGGGTGCGGAGTCGACCTTTGCGTTTGCGCCGACGGTTGGGTGGAAGTAGAGGAGGACGGGTGCGGTTTGAAGCATCATCTATCGATTGTTAGTCCTGGAGAGCTGAAAGTAGAGGAACAGGGAGGTCTCACCGACTGGAAAGTGTTCTTTCCATCAACAAAGTCCAACGTGCCAAAGACCAGTTTCGTCTTCCCGTCTTTGTCACCCTTCATCCAGCTCTTGCCCAGCAAATCCCACTCGGGCTGAAAGTCCCTGCAGAGCATGCATCCAAACCTCGGCTCCAGGGCCGTCAAAAGCACAGCAACGCCATAATCTCTCGGAGACTTGGTCAATTGCGCATAACCGGCGTCGTCGAGCTTGAGCGGATGGCCCACGGAAAGCGACTTGGCGCGGGCGTCAGTGAAGCGGTCGCCGGTCGATTTCTTGGCAGCCAGAGCTGTAAAGGGCAGCAGCGAGGCCGTGAGGAGCTGTAACCACCGCATTGTGTCGTTTGGCGGGTGGAGAGTTGGTGTGCGGAGCTTTGGTGGGTTGGACTGGTGCTTGGGAACGTGGCCTCGAGCTCGGAGATGCGGCGTGCGTAATGCCAAGGCCGACACCTAGGCAGGGGTGCGCGACATGGGCGTTGGAGGTCAGCACTGCGGATTGTAAACCTCACAAGGACTGCTGGACTACTCAAGAGGCGATTCGTTCTTTAGTAGTGTTCGCGCGCTATCTTCACGTTTTCAGCGTCATTCTTCCACTTTGTTGTGTTGCTAGCTCCATGACGGCCATCTGCGCTCTGTTTGTTTACCCAGTCGCGTCTACCTAAAGCCCCACCACATTCTGTCCTACATCTACACCTAGCGACACGCTCGCGCATCATTGAGCAGATATTATACCATGGTCGCCGCTGTGGAGGCAGATATGGACATCAACTACGAGATGAAGGATGTGAGTAAAAGACGGCTGGACCCTGTTCGGCTGCCGTGTCTTAGACCTTCCACTGACCCTTTCAGCTCCAACATTCGCTGCGGAACGCGACGCTCGAACTCAGCCTCGAGCGGAGTAAGCATTCAGTCGAAGCGGTAGTCAAAGACGAGGAGATCCGGAAGTTGCGAGTCGCCCAGTGCCTCCTGCAAGACGAGAACAGCGACCTACACGAACAACTCGAGGAGGAGCAGGCGCGATCCGACGAGCTCGAGGCATCGCTCGAAGAGGCCCTTGCGCAGTTGGACGAGCAACGCGCAGAGGCAGAGGCAGCACAAAACACCATCCGCACCCAGGCGCGGGAAGTCGCGAATCTCAAGGTAAGCACGTCCGGCCTATCGATCATTGCGCTATTTGCTTACTTCTCTTAGGCCGAGCTCAAGGCTATGGAAAACGTCACATCCGACTCCAACAAGATACTATCAGACAAACTTGCCCTGTCCCGCGAAATCTCATCACTACGCCCCGAAGTCGAACACCTACGCGCCCAGGTCGAAGCAAACACCGGTCTACTTTCTGAGAAGCTCGCATTGCAACGCCAGATGACTACGCTACAAGTCGAACTCGAGAACGAGAAGCGGACCTCCGCCCGTACCATTGCGAAACAGGGGAAGAAGATGGAGCAGGACGAGGACCTCCGCAACGAGTTGGAGGAGGTGCGCAATGAGCTCGCAACGGAGAAGAAGGACCGGATGAAGGCTGAGGCTGGGCTTACAAAGGCTGAAAAGGCCATGGAGAAGGTGCAGGCCGATCTGGAGTCGCAACAACAGGCCACCGAAAGTCTGCAGGCCAAGGTCGAGAGCCTGTCCAAGAAGGAGGCCAACAAGGCTAGCAAGCGCAGTGAGGCCCAAGATGCCGCGATTGAGCAGCTCCGCGAAGAACTACAACAAGAAAAGGCTGCACGCCTTCAAGCCGAGAAAGCCCGCAAAGACACCGCCGCCCGCGATGCTGAGATCGAAGAGCTGCGACAGGAACTCGAACAAGAGAAGCGCGAGCGTCAGAAGGCAGAGAAGGCGTCGAGGAAGGGTTCACAACAACCCGACGATCAAGCCGAGGCTGCAAGGAAAGAGCTGGAAGAAGAGAAGCGCGAGCGCAAGAAGCAAGAGAAGGAATACAAGCAGACCTTGGCCGAACTCCAGGGCAAAAATGCGGTGCTCGACGACAAGCTGAGTGCCTTCCGCGAGAAGCTACGAACAACCAAGGAGAAGTTGAAGGAGAAGGAAGCCGAGCTTCAAAGGGTAGACCGGGCGCAGACCGCACCACCTGTTAAGAGCATCGCAGCTGCGTCTAGCAAGCCCGCAAAGACTGCTCGAAAACGCATGGCAGCTACTGCTGAGCCAGAGACCATGCTGGGTACGCCAGGAGACGGCTTCCCTGCGAAGAAGGCGAAGCGCGGCACTTCGGTCTCTGCCATGGGTGATACATCCACCTTCTCCCTAACGCCATTCCTGAACAAAGCGAGCAATATCGCACTTGACAGCCCTATCATTGAAGAAGAGGAGGAGGCCGAGCAACAAGTCGAAGAAGAAGTTGCTGAAGAGCAAGGTACTCCGACAGCGCCTCCCAAGAAAGCCCTCAAGAAGACTGCCCAACCCAAGGTCAAGGCCCTCGCGCCATCGGCATCGAGCAAGGCAAACGCAAAGCCATGCAAGAAGAACGCTGCCCCAGTCCTCGAAATGGTCTCAGAGGAAGCATCTGAGCTCTCGCACAACACATCCAAAGACGCATCCGAAAACGCGCCCGTATCCATCCCGACCAAAGACGACGATGGCCCATCCAAGAAGTCCAGCAAAGTCAAGCCTCGCAAGTCACTCATGTCCTTTGCCACATTCACCGAGGAACCCGCGGCAGAGAAGAAGAAGAAGCGCAAGCTTGGTGCAGGTGCCGGCAAGACACTCTTTGATTCTGAAGATGCCGAAGACGCTGCGCCCCTGAAGCCTGTCGGTCTCAGCAAAGGCCTGTTTGCGGCGAGGGCCCTGAGTAAGAACGTGTTGGGTAAGCAGGGACAGGGACGCCCCATTTCGGGCGGATTCAACATGATGAGTGAGGAGGCGTTCACCTTCTCGCCGCTCAAGAAGGATCGGAGAGGGGCGAGTATTCTGAAGTAGAAGAGGGGGCTTGGGGTGAGGAGGTGCTGTACAATATTCGTTCGGTGCATATTTGGCGTTTGGTCTCACATCACGTATTGGCATTCATTAGACTTCAGGTTATATGCAATACATACATTACAGTTGCATCCTACAACACATGAGCAGTTCAAGATTTAATATTTCATAGGTCTGTTTGAAGGATACATGGACAACTTTGTGGGATCTCTGACAGGCAGAAATCCTGTGAAGACCTCCTCGCTGTTGTATTGCAGCATTCTTCGGAACTTGAGAATGTGTTGTATGCAACACACTAGCATTCTAGGGGCCATATAATGGAACGTGTAGGTCTACAAGGAGCAGCAAGACAATCTCTCTCACCTCAACTCTCATGCCAAGCCTACGTGGTCACTGTGAGCCGAGCAGGTGAAGGCAGACAAATTTCCCGCGTTAAACCAAGCGCTACACTCTCTTATCCCAGTTACCTTTCGGTCCTCAGTCCTACTACAATATCTTCATTCTTCCTACCAACTTACCAACGCCGTTCATGAAGATGCAGCCCGACCGAGGAGCACACGACAAGAAGACGACGGTGCAGGAAAGTCTACCCGAAACCATGCAGTCAGAAGCCAATATCACAGTGAGCTATTCATAAATCTATTTCTAGAGGATTATGGTTAACACACAGTCTAGACCTCACACAATGGCGGCGACATGAACGAGAAGATCGAGAAGGTCACTGCCAAGCGTGAGAGCGACAGAACCCTCCATCCGGTGCAGATGCTAGAGAGCGAGCCATCCCTTCATCCCACCAATACCGAGAATGATCACACACCGGATGAGCAGAATGATGCCTCAGACAAAGACACAGCCAAGCCACTACAAAAGCCCTCACTCATCGTCACCCTCTCATGTCCGGAAATCGCTCGATTTGTTACGGAAGATACAGATAGCGATGAAGAACTCGCTGAACAGGATATGTATGGCGGTGAAGATAACGACGATGAGGGCCCAGAACCGCTTTCAGAGGCGCAGCTAGCTTACTTCTACGCCCACTTCGTCGACATGGATTGGGATGTGAAAGTAGATGCTTGATGTGCGGTTGAGGCTGCAATCTATGGTGGGAAGAATATTTCCTCAGGTGCAAGAGGAACGTGGAAATCGGGCCGCCATGGAGGATATCAAGGGCAAGCTTCATGAGATGACGATTATTTGCGATCGCCAGCGAACTCAGCTTCTGGGTCGGAGGCGGACTGGACAGGAAGGCACAGGAAATGAGGTTTAGATAAAATCTATTTTTCTTTACTAGTACTACTCGCAGGGTATATCTCAAGGGAGCTGATACCAGCATGAACGATAGCGATGCATGCAGCGAAATGAATTTTTGTGCGAAGAATACGCAACAGTCGTGCCATTCGAAAGGCATCCTGCACTTCGTGATCCTGTGTCATCATAGTAAGGAAGGTCTCAAAGTAGGTCCAAGTAGGCCAGTAAACAGCCCCTGGGCGCTTAAGTACCTGGAAAGCCATGTGCGGCGCGGAAACAGGACCATAGCGCCGGGGCGTAGTAGGCGCACAGTATATATAGGCCATACCAACTGTGCCTCTTCAAGGCGCGCAAACAACACGACCCCGAAACAGACCAACAACAAGGTCTTCCCCTGAGTAAGCTGTTTCGCGATGGGTCCACTGGGGTTGGAGTAAGACTTCAAAGAGGCATTGTCTAGTAGTCGAGGATCTGATTGGGCTGTGCATGATTCCCACACCACCACTCATCTCGAGATGAGGGATGAGGGAATTGATGCTCACCGGGGACCTGCAACGGAAATGCGCGAGGCAATACGGAAAATGCGCAGACTCTTCGTGAGGGAATTACAACTCGCTCACGGCGCGCCGAAATCGCTCGTGAGCGATATCTGACCGGTGCGGACCGGAGTACGAACTCATGAATGCGAGGACATGCACTTCGTACACGGTGTAGATAGTACCGCCGTGGCGCACCCCTTGTCCAGATGGCTGCAAGACGACTTAGACGCTGGAGCCATCCAGAAGGCAGAAGAGACAGCTCACAACTGTGCCGTAGAGAAGAATAGCCAACACCAACACAAGTGCGATGCCTCACGATGTTTTCCCGCGCCAGCGCGCTTACAAGTCGGAAATAACCCATCTACTGTCAAGCCAACTCACCAGCCCCCTCGGGCGTTGTTAGTCCCCTTTCAGATTTGGCCTAACATCCGCAGCCGAGCCTTCGCCACGAAGCCCACCTACAGGGCTGAATCCGATGGCCGGGGCACTTGTTGCCCGATCCACGAGGCGCGTGATAATGCCGAGATGGCTGAATTGGTGTGCTTATCGAATGGCCAGATCGCTGACGTCGGACATGTTTGAGCACGCCCTCTGTATGGCCCGTTTGCATATATCGAGTGTGCCTTGAGCGTATTTGCACGTCACGAGTAGACCCGAAGGGTGTGCTCTGGGCTTGGTTCCCGACTTAGCCGAGTGCGGGAGGCCTTGGAGGTGCGTGGATGTTGTGTGACGGGGATTCGATGGGTTTGTGTCAAACTGCAGAGGTGCGCGCTGGTATGTGTATAGGAAACCAAGGTCAATGTGTTTGTCGCTTCATCTCAAGGATCGCAGTGAGCCTTGCAGCAGGTAGTAATGGATGCGTATTCCACGCTGTCATCAAGAGTCCATTTGGTCGCATGCGATGGTAAGACAGATGCGCACAGCCCCAAGAAGTGGCCACATACTAGCGTGACAAGGGCAAGGGCACGAGCAGGGATCGAGCTAAGCTAGCTTCCCCGCTCAGCATGCATGGTGCTGTGAATGCAACTGCCTGGGTGCATATAAGCCAACGACACGCTGTTGTTGTCGAATAATGTCCCTCACATATCCTTCTACCATCGCCGAGTCTACGCATTCTTCTTCGAGACCCATTCTTCTTCGAGACCCATTCTTCACGATAACGATACCATCAACAATCAACGTACTACCGCGGCCATGAGCGACATCAACGGAAAAGCACCTGTCAATGGTGGCACTCAGTCACCTCGCACTGCCGAGCCGGTTATCAAGGTTCAACCACCGCGTCGAGAAGATCTTCAGCCTAGCTATGCGAGGGTTATCCAACCTGATGATGCCGATGCTGACACAAACGGCTGGTACGGTGGCATGGTATGTTTACATTGAATCCATGTCCCATGCGCCACTCTAATATCCATCTAGATCAACACCCTAGGAGGCTGCATCGGTACCCTCGGAGCCATCCCCTGCTGCATCGTCTGCCCCAACCCCTACAAGCCTGTCAACCAAGGAAACGTAGGTCTCGTCACAAAGTTCGGACGTTTCGCCCGCGCCGTCGACCCCGGTCTCGTCTACGTAAACCCACTGTCAGAGCAACTCGTCCAAGTCGACATCAAGATCCAGATCGTCGAAGTCCCCAAGCAGGTCTGCATGACAAAGGACAACGTCTCCCTCCAGTTGACTTCCGTCATCTACTACCGCATCACTTCGCCCCACAAGGCCGCTTTCTCTATCTCCAACATCCGCCAGGCGCTTGTAGAGCGTACGCAGACGACGCTGAGGCATGTTGTTGGTGCACGTGTGCTGCAGGATGTGATTGAGCGTCGTGAGGAGATTGCTCAGTCGATTCGTGAGATTATCGAGGAGACGGCGCTTGGTTGGGGTGTTGAGGTTGAGTCTATGCTCGTCAAGGATATTATCTTCAGCCAGGATCTTCAGGACTCGCTCTCTATGGCTGCGCAGAGCAAGCGTACCGGAGAAGCCAAGGTCATTGCTGCGAGGGCTGAAGTTGAGGCTGCCAAGCTTATGCGTCAAGCCGCCGACATTCTCAGCAGCGCTCCAGCTATGCAGATCAGATACCTGGAAGCCATGCAAGCCATGGCCAAGTCGGCAAACAGCAAAGTGATCTTCTTACCGGCAAGCGCTTTCCCTATACGTACTGCATCTGAGACAAATGCTAACTTCTTCCAGGCTCAGAACCAGACTGTCCAGAGCGCGCTCGCTCAAGCCGACTCCGTTGGCGAAGGACCCAGCTCCCACGGCGCCAGCCCAATGGGCGTGCAGAGCTCGGCAGCTCAGGAATACGGCGGCAACAGCCACGGCTTCCAGAGCGCCATCAACTCGCATGTCATTGAGAACATGTAAAGAACTGGCTTAACAATCAAGCTCTCATTCTTCACTGTATTCATGTTGCTTTTTGGTTTTTTGGTTTGGTAAGCGATGATTACGGATGGATGGATACGACGAGGCAGATTGATAAGAGTTTGATGATGGACTTGAGCATTTTGTTTTCGCGTTTCTTGATACCCTATTCCGGCAGCAGTATTATCGGTTCACTCGCTACTTGTTCTGATAGACACTTTTACGATAATGATAATGCCTGATTATACTCAACGAACTTAGTCTCATTAGCGATGAATGAAATCTTGCTCGATACTGATCTGTTGACAAGGAATTGCCGCATACGAGGGGATATTGAGAGATGGATAAGGGCGCGTGGCGCGCCTGGGAGGTAGTCACATCATCTGGCTAGGGCGATAGCAGGGTATACAAACTAATGTATTCGTTACACTGGACTATCCCTTCATCTATCGGTCCCCAAAAAGCTCACTTTCGTCATCAACCCCCGTGATGCCTTCCTCGACAGTCACCGCCAAACGACTGAAGCATGGCTCGCGCTGCGTGACCTCATCGGCGCCAACACAGAAACATGTTAGCGCCAGCCACCAAGCATATATAATCTCTGCCTTCTGACCTTTTCTCTTCTTCTCGACACCCTCAAATGCATGAGTCACTCTCCAAAAAGAGTTGTTCGTTCGTAAATGATCTTTGGAAAGTGAAGTGGTTGGCGATGACATGAACGTTTTGCGCCAAAAACAAGTTGGCTTGTGGCCATGTGGCGGACACGATGTAACTCTGGGTGACTCGAAAGCAACACTCGAAAGCCATGTCGAGTCCAAAAGTGAAGTTTCATATGTTCATTCATCTACTTCAGCGTACTGTACTTCTCCTCGACACTTTCCAAACCATCCGTTCACCAGGTTATGCCACCTTGTATACTCCAAAACGTCCAAGCTTACATGCCATGGTCGCTCACTCAAACGCACAATGCTTGGCTCCAACAGATGCTTTGATACAAAAGAAAATTTGAGATTTAAAAATGGAATAGTAATACGAGAAGCTCCAGCTCCCGCAAAATGATCAACAAGAATGGATGGAAGAATAAAAGGGTGTCTGACCAGAAACAAGGACTTATGAAGGGAGTACACTTTTGTCGGTCGTTCCATTCCCGTTCCCTAGTATTGGTCGGGCCTCCTTCTGTTGTGGTTCGCCATATGCCCACTTCGTTGCTGCGTTGACGATGTTTGCGCATACTGGGTCGACGTGCTTGACCCATAGTGCCGCGGTTCGGTATAGGATGTAGTAAAAGACCGCAATGGCGATAAGAATGTGTGTCGTTGATCCACGCTGGAGGTCCTGTTGCTCTCCCTTCTCGTTCCTCGGCGGGTTCATGGCGGAAGGTAGGTAGATCATCCAGGTAAGCACAGACTTGATAAAAGTGTTGTGCAGCAGGTATACAGGGAAACTGACGCGACCGAGGAAATTGAAGACAGGCGACGTAAGGAGTTTGCGTGCGTTCCTCGAAAAGAAGATCCCCAGCAGGACAAACGCGGCTCCCAGGTGGTCCCAGTATCTTCGAATATCCGTCTTATCGGCGGTCAGGCTGTGCATGATGGTGGCCATTGTGTGCGACCAGCGTGTGTTCTGGGCCGAGTCCTGGGGAAATCCAGCCATGAACATGCCGCAGATTATCATGATGGCGGGGATCGGGGCGGGTAGGACGGAGGTGGCAGCATCCTTGTAGTGGTTGTGCAACTCGGCTACAAACATGCCCGTGACGATGTTGAGACCCTTGATGGAGCCAACTGTGAGGTCTGCTCTAGTTAGCGATTGCCCAATTCGTTTGCTGGCCGGAACTATACACACCTTTGCCAACTTGCCAGAAATACATGTACATGATGCCATAGATGATGAACCGCGCTTTCGGTCGCACCAAAACTGTAGCAAGCATGG